CCTAAGAAACAAGATTGTGGCTCAAATAACCAGTTCTTTGGAAGTGGCTAGAAATGTTGATCTTTGTGTTTCACACCTTAGAACATACCTGTAAGCAAGCCTGTGCTACAAATGCTGAAACTTTAGCCACACACAATTTTTAAGGATCAGAATAATAAAACCATTGAGAATAATAAGAACAACTTGGTGTTTTTTTTCAGCTTTATTTCATGGGGAGGAGGTGTTGTAAAATTTAAAGTTTTGGTTTTCTAATAAAAAAATAATGTCCTGTGTGTGCTACCACGTTACTTATGGCTACACACCATTTCCAGGTGAAGTGCTCCAGGCTTCTAGCCCACCGTACCTAAGAAGGGCTTCTAGGCCAAGGTGCTTCTAGACTGCTTGTGAGTCAGCGCCTCGCAGGCTTCGGCATTATGTAAACCTTCACAGGCTTGCTGAAGGGAATGGTGCCTTCGATGCTGGTTTCCACCTGTGGTGACCCCTCACCACCCTCGATCCAGGGGGATTTTGGAATGCGAGCATTGGAGTTATAGGCCAGCAGCAGTCTCACTTCTACCTGGCATGGTTCTGAAACAAAAGACAAAAAAAAACATACCAAAACTGGGCAGCTGTTAGGAATTTACATAAAACAGCAAGTGAAAGCAGTATTAAAAATGGAAGCTACAGCCAAGCGCTGGTGGCTCATGCCTGTAATTCTAGCGACTCGGGAGGCTGAGATCAGAGGATAGCGGTTCAAAGCCAATGCAGGCAGAAAAGTCCATGAGACTCTTATCTCCAAGTAACACCAGAAAACCGTAAGTGGAGCTGTGGTTCAAGTAGTAGAGGGCTAACCTTGAGCTGAAGAGCTGATGGACAGCACCCAGGTCCAGAGTTCAAGCCCCATGACCAAAAAAAAAAAAAAGTTTTATAGCAGGGCACTGGTGGCTCATATCTATAATCTTAACTACTCAAAAGGCTGAGATCTGAGGATTGATTAAGTACATGGCTTCCCTTGTGAAGGAGAAAAGGATTTCAGCCAAACCTAAGAGCAGGTACAAAGGCCAAAATAGAATGAGCTTGGGATATCCTCACTATTTTAGTACAACTGAGACAAAAAGTTCAAGAGTTAAAGATAAGTCTCAGGCTAAGAAGTTCAGACAGCAGGAGCTAGTTAGAGGGCTCTAAATGATTGAGTAAAGGCTCCAGGGCTCTTCCACAGACCAGTTTTATTCCTGGTTATTTCCAGACATCTTCCTAGAAAACAGTTTATAAGAATGAAAGGCTAACCAGGCACTGGTGGCTCATGCCTGTAATACTAGCTACTCAGGAGGCTGAGATCTGAGGATTGCAATTCAAAGCCAGCCCAGGCAGGAGACTCTTATCTCCAATAAACCACTCAGAAAACCAGAAGTGACGCTGTGGCTCAAGTGGTAGAGTGCTAGCCTTCAGCTGAAGAGCTGAGGGACAGCGCCCAGGCCCACAGTTCAAGCCCCATGACTGACAAAAAAAAAAAAAAAAAGAAGAAGGCGGCGGCTAGGGCTGGGAATGTGGCTTAGTGGTAGAGTGCTTGCCTAGCATGCATGATGTCTGGGTTCAATTCCTCAGTACCACATACACACACAAAAAAAAAAAACAGAAGGAGTGCTGAGGCTTAACTAGTAGAGTGCTAGCCTTGAACAAAAGAAGCTCAGGGACAGTGCCTAGGCCCTGAGTTCAAGCCCTAGGACTGGCAAAAAAAAAAAAAAAAGAATGAAAGGCTAAGGCAGCTTTACCAATTCCAGCAATTCTAGCTATCAGCAGGAGCCTGAGCAGACTCACCTTCCCATTTAGCAGCCATGTGGCATGCACACCCCATATCACATGGCCTGAAAGCAGCATGAGTGTAGCTGTTGTCAAACTAGCACTGCTCTGACATCAGATTCAGAAGAACCTCCTACAGGGTGGACTCAGGGCAGGTACCAGCATCAGCTATCCCACCACACCCTCTTAGCCCATCCCACACAGCCACAGGTATGGAACTCACAGCACTTTCAGGAGGGCCAAATCTTGGAGGGAGGTGATGGAGTAATCAGATCTACAGGGTCATCTTACCTTCTCTAATCAGCCTTTGGTAAGAAGGCCAATACCATAGAACAGAGAGCACACAACAAAGACTCATCAACTGGAACAAATCATACAACCTTATTTATCAACCTTCTGGTTTATATTGTTTTTCCCACCTTAAAGATTGCTAAGCACCAGTGGCTCACATCTGTTATCCTAGCAAGGCAAGAGGCTGAGATCTGGAGGACCTCAGTTCAAGGCAGCCTTGGCAGAAAAGTTTGGTAGAATCCATCTCCAAAATAACCAGCAAAAAAATAAGGGGACACGTGGCTCAAGAGGTTGAGTGACAGCTAAGCTGACAAGATGAGTGAGTGTAAGGCCCTGAGTTCTAGTGAGTGAAAGGCCCTGTGTTTTCAAGTACTAGGGAAAAATAGATTAGGACAATGAGAAAGGTAAGATAATTTCCTCAGACTCATACAGAGGAAAGGAGAATGAAACCTGGCCTGTGTGACCCAGCTCTATATGCACCATCTAGCCTCTCAGAGGAACAAGAACAACCTTATCAGGAAGCTGCTGACAGTCTACATAAACTTCAGGCTCCACTTCTGGGTTAGGAGAAAGAGGTGAAAGTGCATTTCAAATGAGAAGACTTTTTACTTTCTTATTCCAGGCCAAAAAGGAATAAGTTGAGTGAAAAAAGGGACCTAAGAACCCGGCAGTCTGAGGGCTAGCTTAGTACCTTACTGGTCAGCTTATTTCTAAACTGTGAAATATAAACTGCCACTACACGGTCTAAAGATTAAATGAATTTTGATTACATAATCTTGTATACCAATTTTTTTGGTGTGTGGCAGTACTGGGGTTTGAACTCAAGGCCTTGAGCTCTCAACTTGGCTTTTTCACTCAAGGCTTGCTTTCTTTTTTCTTTTTTTTGTTGGTCATGGGGCTTGAACTCTGGGCTTGGGCGCCATCCCTGAGCTCTTCAGCTCAAGGCTAGCGCTCTACCACTTGAGCTCTACCACTTCCACTTTTCTAGTGGTTTATTAGAGATAAGAGTCTCACAGACTTTCCTGCCCAGGCTGGCTTTGAACCATGATCCTCAGATCTCAGCCTCCTGAGTAGCTAGGATTCAGGCATGAACCACCAACACCCTGCTTCAAGGCTTGCTTTCTACCACTTGAGTCACACCTTCATTTCCAGTGTTTTACAGGTTAAGTGGAGATAGGATTAATTGGGATTAAGGTTAATTGAGATAAGAATCTCATAGACTTTTTTGCTCAGTCTTTGAACTGTGATCTTCAGAACTCAGACTCCTGAGAGGTTAAGATTACAGGCATGAACCACTGGTGCCTAGTTTCTACTATATGTTAAGCAAATTGTGGATGTGGGAGGGAAGGGATGGTAGGGGAAAAACAAAGGAGGAGGCAACAATGCTTGATAGGAAATGTAATCATTACCTTGCTCATGTAACTGTAACTCCTCTACAGTATTTTTACAATAAAAAGTATATATGTAAAAAAAGAAACATAGGCTATAGAAGTAAAGGGGGGCAGGGGGAGGCTGGGAAGGGATGGGAAGGGGAAACAAAGGAGGAGGCTACAATGCTTGATAAGAAATGTACTCATTATCTTGCCCATGTAATTGTAACCCCTCTGTACAGTATTTTCACAATAAAAAAAAAATAAAAAAAGTAAAGACAGCATAATCTCTGCTCCAATGAAGCCTAAATTCTAATGAGAGAGAAGGTCAAGGAAACAAATAAAACATCTAACATGAACAAATGTGATGCAGAGAATTAAAATGGGAATTTGTAGTTGAGAATGTTGGAGGGGGTGGCACTGATCAAGATGCACTGTACACATAGAAGGACATGTTAAAAACCCCTGGGGTAACTATTTGAGGATAAAAAAAAAAAAACCTTTTTTTTTTTTTTTAGGATAAAACATTTTAAATGAGAGTAACTAACTGAAAAGCAAATTCTTGAGGACTGTGTCTCAAATGAGAATAGCCTGGCAATATGTAGCCCTCCTCCCTGCATAAAGAAAGACTTGTAGTGAACTAAAATGACTTAAGAAGAAACAGGGCCTACTAGAGAAAAATCTTGTGCTCAGAAGCAGACAGCTGAGATTTAACTCTAGTTTGGGGAATGACTGACTGTGTAAACAAGAAGGTGTCAATATCCTTTTCAAGATCTTTAAGCTCATATAAGGTTTAACATGCTTTGATTTCTTCCTGAGCCAGCTCCTCCCCAAACAATATTGCCCCACAGCAAGACTTTCTCTATAAAAAGGGTTCCTGAAGCAAAGATTTTAGAGGTTAGGGTATAGCTGAGTGGCAGACTTCTTGCCTAGCATGTGAGAAGCCCTGATTTAATCATGAGTTCATTCTCAAACACATACACTTTGGAGTAATAATTTACTCTCGTGGTATTAATGCCAAGGAGTGGAAAAACATACTAAGAATCAAAGTCATGAAATGAGATGCTGAAATTCTGGGTCAAAGAACTGCACTTCCTCCTTCTGAAAGCACCATAGATTCATCAGGACCCATCTAATACTCATAAGATAGGGAACATTTTTGATGGCATTAAATAGGTTTTGTTATTTTGGTACTGGTCCTGGAGTTTGAACTCAAGGCATGGGCACTGTCTCTGACATTTTTTGCTCAAGACTACTGCTCTACCACTTGGGCCACAATTCCACTTCTGGCTCTCCTGGTGGTTAATTTTAAGGGTCTCATGGACTTTTCTGCCCAGGCTAACTTTGAACCACCAGCCCTCAGATCTCAGCCTCCTGAGTAGCTAGTTACAGGAGTGAGCCATGGGTGCTTCCCTTGAGCAGTTCACAAAGAATTCCCGAAAGGGAATTTGACCTCACATGTTTATTGGCTTCATAACAAAAGTTGGAATTTAGGCATCATGATTTTATTGTCTTTATAACAAAAGTTGGAGCTAAGAACTAGATCACTGCCTCTTTCTCTTTTTATCTCCACCCAATTCAAAATGTTTGCATCTCATAATAGCTAGCATTCTCTCTTAGATCTGCAGTTGGGCTCAACACATTCAAGTCTCAGCACAATCTTCTTTGTAGTCTTAGGTTTTTTTCCAGAAAATTGGCTTAGTCTGACTGCCATAGCCACTCTGCTTTGGACATACAGAGAATCCTTGCCCTTTCTGTACCACGTTACTTTGTGAGGTTGGTGCTTACCACACTTCTTACAGAAAGTTCGGCGGGTTTTAAGAACATTAACCATGATGGCAGGAAGCCTGCAGCAGTGCCAAAAAGAAGTGCATTCCCTATTTTTAAAACCAAAGTTCATGGCAATGTACACTTTTTCTAGTAGAGTTCATGCTCCTAAACCAGCACCAGTGACTTAGGAAACACTACTGCCTGTAGGTTCTAAAGCCTAAGTCTCTAATTTTTCCAAAGACACTTTTAAGCTTAAAATATGTCTTTTGTACTTATGTTCTCTCAATTTATTCTTACAGATTAAAAAAAAAAAAAAAACATAACCTTACTCTCCTTTCACAAACTGCTCTGTTGCTTTGTGAACATCTACTTGTAAGGTCCGCTCCTGGATGGATAGTAGACTCCACCCTCTTCACAGCAAAGTCTCCCCCCAGTACCTGCGTTACCAAGGCAACTGGCACACCTGGAAGAGGTCACATCTGAATTTGATGTGGCCACACCTTTCTCCGCCCATACCCTAGATTAGTAAGGCCTAGCCCAGGCCCAGACACTCTCTCGGCTCTTTTCTAGCTCTTTCCTACTCTTCCCTTCTCTTCTCTTTCCCAGCTCTTTCTCTTTCCCAGCCCTTTATCCACCACGTGGAGGACCAAGATGGCCTAGTGCCAGCAGGAACGATGAATAAACCTACCCCTTACCTGAAAACCACGTGCGTGGTGTTGGTCTTACTCGTCTACCTCTTTTTAAAAACTTAACACTACTTACTTAACATTTTACTTGTTTCATGAGTATAAACAACTATGCATGTACGAAGAGACAGTGATTTTCAATTTTTTGTAAGAAATATGAAACTATAATTTCCAGAGGAATCTTCATTACAAATTTATAGTTTGAGAATTTTCTTCTTCATCCTCAAGATGGAGAAATAGACTCAAAGTTACTTGCTCAAGGGTACCCGACAAATCAGTGGCAGTTGGAAAAGGACCGTCAGTGGCCACCTGACATCGGTCTCATTACAACTTCCTGTATGACTTCTAATGGAATCTTGTTCCTCATCCAGCCAGCACAGCACAGTTATCCTCATGTGCCCAGTTTTAGCTTATGAACCCCTTAAAGACTCAAGTTTAATTTTTAGCATTCATGATTCAATTATGTTTTGTTTTTATTCAACTATAAAAAAAAAAAAGCTAAAAGTTATTGTGATCTCTAGGAAAATACTGTCCTGCCCACTCTGTTCTACCGGTTCTTTACCTGTCCAGGCAGTATGGGAAAGGTACACCTGAGTGATGAGTCGGTACCGGCCTGGGCCAGGATTCCGGAAGTCTGCTGGCTTGGGGTGGATCATCTGAGCCTGGCCATCAGGATACAAAACCTAAGAAGTAACAGAAATGAATAAATAACTAAAAGCAGAAGATAGATGAGCTAAGAAAATTGATGGTAGTGTCTAACGTGAACCTCCAAATCAGAGACTAAAGATGATATTTCATAAAAGACTACTTCTGGAGGGGACAGCAACAGTGTAGACACCCCAACACTCATCTCCCCAGCCCAGCACAAACAGTGTCCAGTGAACACTTTTTTCAACTGATGGTAAAACAGAATGTCTGGGCTGGGAAGGTGGCTCAGTTGGTAGAGTGCTTGCCTTGCATGCATGAGGCCCTGGGTTCGATTCCTCAGCACCACATAAGCAGAAAAAGCCAGAAGTGGTGCTGTGGCTCAAGTGGTAGAGCTATCACCTTGAGCTGAAGAGCTGAGGGACAGTGCCCACGCCCAGAGTTCAGGCTCCATGACCACCACCACCAACAACAAAAAAGTCTCATGTACTATGCTTGGTGTGGTTTTGAACTCTAATCTTCAGATCTCAATATCCTGATTAGCTAGGGTTTACAGGCATGAGCCACCTGCCTGTTTTATTTTTATTGTTGTTGTTTTGCCAGTCCTGGGGCTTTAACTCAGGGCCCAGGTACTGTGCTCAAGGTTAGAGCTCTACCACTTGAGCCACAGTGCCACTTCCAGCTTTTTCTGTTTATGTGGTACTGAGGAATCAAACCCAAGGCTTCACGCATGCTAGGCAAGCTCTCTTACCACTCTAAGACACATTCCCAGTCCCTTTCTTTGGTGGGGGGAAATGGGGTCTTGCTGTCTTAGACAGGCTAAAGTTCAGTGACTATTCACAGACATAGTCCCACTTGTGATGTTTACTATAGACAGCCCCAATCTCAGATCAAGCAATCCTCCCACTTCAGCTTCACAAGCAGCGAGCACATGCATCATACCTGGCTACCCTTCTTCCTTTATGCTGTTAGATAAAAAGTGCATATAACACAGTATAAAATGTTTGCATATGAAATGTCCCCCCGCAAAGCTCATATGTTGCTAGGAGATAGAAAGATGACCCATGTTCATGAATCAGAATATTGTGAAAATAGCTAGATTACTAAAATTGAGTTACAAAGTCAATGCAACCTCTGGCAAAATTTCAATGACATTCTTCACAAAATAGAAAAAAAATCCTATAATTCATTTGGAAACACAAAGACCAATTCTGAGCAAAAAAGAATAATGTTAGAAGTATCACAATCCGGGGCTGGGAAGTTGGCTCAGTGGTAGAGCGCTTGCCCTTGCATGCATGAGGCCCTGGGTTCGATTCCTCATCACCACATAAGCAGAAAAAAAAAGCCGGAAGTGGTGCTGTGGCTCAAGTGGTAGAGCGCTAGCCTTGAGCTGAAGAGCTGAGGGACAGCTCCCAGGCCCAGAGTTCAGGCCCCACAACTGGACCAAAAAAAAAAAGTATCACAATCCAACTTCAAATTATACTATAGAAAGGCGGGGTACAGCGGCTTAATACTTATATTCCCAGATTTTTGAGAAGTGGAAGTAGAAAGATTTAAGTTTAAGGATAGTTCAGGAAAAAAACTTCATAAAGAAAAAAAGACTTCATCTCAAGAAATAAGCCAGCCATGGTATCACAAGCCTTGATCTGAGGTATGTGAAAGAATACAGGTAAAAGAATTCCAATCCGAGGTTGGTGCCAGGCATAAGTGTGAAACCCTACCTTAAAAATAACTAAGGTGCTGGTGGCTCACACCTGTAATCCTAGCTTCTCGGGAGACTAAAATATGAGGATTATGATTAGAAGCCAGCCCAGATAGCAAAGTCTGTGAGACTCTTTTTTTTAATTGTGAAAATACTGTACAGAATGGTTACAATTACATGAAAAAAGGTAATGAGTACATTTCTTATCAAGCATTGTTGCCTCCTCCTTTGTATCACCTTCCCATCCCTTCCCATTTCCCACCCCTCCCATCTCCCCCCATTCCCTCCCCCCCAAAGCTGTAAAGTTCGTTTTTCTACATAATGACTTGTACATCTCGTTGTTGCAATGGGTCCACCTGTATCCCTATTTAAAATTTGTTTAGTTTGGTCTTGTTTTTGATCATTTGGATAAATGCCCAAAAGTGGGATTGCTGGGTCATAGGGGAGCTCTATGTGGAGTTTTTTGTTGTTGTTTTGACCCAAAATGTTAAGATTTTATTTACCAAGCTTTTTTTGTTGTACAGAAAGTAAAAATGCAGTTCTTTTGAGGAACCTCCATACTACTTTCCAAAGTGATTGAACAGGTTTACATTCCCACCAACAATGCAGTAAGGTTCCTTTCTGTGAGACTCTTACCTCCAATTAATTACCAAAATGTTGGAAGTGGTCCTTTGGCTCAAGAGGTAGAATGCCAGTCCTGAATAAAAAAAGCTAAGGGACAGTGCCCAGAACGTGAGTACTGAGTCCAAGTCACACACACATACACACACACACACACACACACACACACACACACACACACACACACACACTGAGGACATGGATCAAGTAGTAAAGCAACTGTCTAGCAAGTACAAAGCATTGAGTTCAAACACACACACACACATACACACACACACACAGGACATGGATCAAGTAGTAAAGCACCTGTCTAGCAAGTACAAAGCATTGAGTACACACACACACACACACACACGCACACACACACACACACACACACACACACACACACACACACACACACACACACACACGACATGGATCAAGTAGTAAAGCACCTGTCTAGCAAGTACAAAGCATTGAGTACATACACACACACACACACTGAGGACTTGGATCAAGTAGTAAAGCACCTGTCTAGCAAGTACAAAGCATTGAGTTCAAAGCCCTATACTACCAAAAAATTTTTACTACAGATCAAGCCCATTAAGACATAGCTATGCAATTTCCAACAAAGACACCCAAAACAAATATTGGAAAGAAAAACAGCCTCTTCAACTAATGGTGCTGGGAAAACTAGATATCCACATGTAGAGATTGAAGTTTGATCCCTATTTCTCATGTTGTGCAAAAGCAATTACAAAATAGATCAAAGTAGTTAATGTAAGACCTGAAGCTTTAGGCAATGCCTTCCTGAATGGGATTCAGAAGCTCAGGAAATGATAGCAAGAACTAACATGACAAATGGGATTGCATCAACTTTAAAGACTTCAACATAGCAGAGAAAACAATTACCTGAGTGAAGAAATAGCCCACAGAAAGAGAAATCTTTGCCAACTATTTAATAGATAAAAGATTAATGTAAGGTGTATATTATTTAGGTTTTATTAGGTAGCCGATGAAGAGACCACCACGTGCTATTCAGACAGGAAAAGAAGTTTATTTACCGAACTGCTGCCTCCAGTGTGCATGGTGGAGAGGCATGGCTGAAAAGGAAGAAGCAACCCACTCCTGAGCCAGGACTTATCTAAGCCAGGAACAGGAAGAGGTGTGGCCAGGTGGGGGTGGGGTGGGGAAAGGTATGGCCACACTGGATCCGGTTGTGACCTCAAGGTTAGATGGGAGGCATGTGACCAGAGTTAGCCCAGGATGTGACCTAGCAGGAGGGGAAGGTGAGTTACTTAGGTAGCAAATACTGGGCTGAAATTTAGCCAAGAGGTAGGAAGGTGTCCCTGTGCAGACCTTACAATTAATATCTAGAATATACAAAGAGCTACTAAGAAAGTTATACAACAAGACAAATAATCCAACCAATAAATGGGAAAATGAACTGAACAGTTCTCAAAAGAAGTACAAATGGCCTGGCGCTGGTGGCTCACACCTGTAATCCTAGTTACTCAGGAGACTGAGATCTGAGGATTGCAGTTCAAAGCCAGCCTGGGCAGTAAGTCTGTGAAACTCTTATCTCCAATAAACTCTCAGAAAGCCAGAAGTGGTGCTGTAGCTCAAATGGTAAAGTGATAGCCTTGAGCTAAAGAGCTAACAGTGACCTGGCCCGGAGTTCAAGCCCCACAACCAACAACAACAACAACAAAAAGTACAAATGGCTAATAAATACAGGAAAAAATGTTCAACATCTTTAGTCATCAGGGAAATTCAAATCAAAATTACAGTACATTAAAGGCTGAGGGTATGGCTCAAATAGTAAAGCAACTGGCTAGGAAATCCATGGCCTCTGAGTACAAAGCCCAGTACTACCAAAAAAAAAAAAAAAGAAATGCAATGAAGCTTGATGCCAGTGGGCTCATGCCTATAATCCTAGCTACTCAGGAAGCTGAGAACTGAGTGAATCCAGGCACTTTAAGTCCCTGTGAGATTTTTTGGTGGTGGTGGTGGTGGTGGTCGTGGGGCTTAAACTCTGGGCCTGGGCGGTGTCCCTCAGCTCTTCAGCTCAAGGTGAGCACTCTACCACTTGAACCACAGTGCCACTTCTGGTTTTCTAGTGGTTTATTGGAGATAAGAGTCTCATGGACTTTCCTGCCCGCCCAGGCTGGCTTTGAACTGTGATCCTCAGATCTCAGCCTTGTGAGTAGCTAGGATTACAGGCGCCCAGCTTCTGTGAGATTCTTATCTTCAATTAACCATTCAAAAACTGGCACAGGCTGGCTTTGAACTGCAAGCTTCAGATCTCAGCCTCCTGAGTAGCTGTGATTATGGATGTGAAATAATGGCACCAGACTTCATGTTTTGTTTTATAAGTAGAATCTAGATTTTAAATAAAAACAAAAAAGTTGAAGGCGAACTATCTTGAAAGAGAAGAAGAATCAGTTGGAGAAAGAATAGGACAAGAGAAAGTAATGAAGAACTAATATGATTAAAGTATATCATAAACATGTATGAAAATGTCATGATGGGGGCTGGGAAGGTGGCTCAGTGGTAGAGCGCTTGCCTTGCATGCCTGAGGCCCTGGGTTCGATTCCTCAGCACCACAGAAGCAAAAAGAAAAAAGCCGGAAGTGGCGCTGTGGCTCAAGTGGTAGAGCGCTAGCCTTGAGCTGAAGAGCTGAGGGACAGCGCCCAGGCCCAGAATTCAGGCCCCATGACCGGACCCAAAAAAAGAAAGAAAATGTCATGATGGAATCCATTAAGATGTACAAAAAAAAAAATGTGTGGAAGGTTTGGTTCCTGATGCAGTGTTCAAATGTTGGGGCCTGGGGAAAAAATTGGATCTTGAGGCTCTGACCTAACCAATGGAATAATGCATTAATAAGACTCATACTGGATTTTATTACTGGGAGGTGTTAAATACCAAGAGGCGGGCCTAGTTAGAGGAAGTAGTCAGTAGGGTGTGGCCTTATCTTCTGTTTCCCTCTCAGGGCTTCTTGGCTGTCAGAATAAGAGCAGCTTTGTTCTACCAGCACTCTTGTCATAATGCTTCAGGCACACCTCAGGCTCACAACAGAAGAACCAGCAGCCAGTCTTGGACTGTAACCTCTGTGAGCTGAAATAAGTCCTTCTCCAATAAATAGTTTTTCTCAAGTATTCTGGCATAGTGATAAAAATCAACTAATGCAAATTGTTCTCCTTACTCCACTCCAGGCTCTGTAGCCCAAACCTACTATATAGAAGGCCCAGCTTCCAAATCCTGTTTAAAGACAAGTACTTTGAGCATCATTTGTTAAAAAGGAGGGGCAGGAAAGGCTAAAGAAGAAGTTAGATGAGTTTGAGTTAGTTAGTTTGAGTTTGAGACCAGCCTGTCTTGAGACCCGCAAGACTGTCTCCAAAAAGGGCTCAGGGCGTGCTTCAAAAGAAAAGCACTGGATTCAAACCCCAGTACCAAATAATAATAAAAATTTAAAAATAATAATAATAGGAAAAAAAAAGGATAAAGGCAGCAGAGCCTCCCAGAATTCTCAACTTAACTGCGCTTGGTGAAAAGACTTACTTCTGAAATTGCTGCTGAAGCTTTCCTTTGTTCTTGTACCACTCCTAAGAGAGGGGCTTAAGTGGCACTGTGGCTCAAGTGGTAGAGCTCTAGCCTTGCCCAGAGTTCAAGCCCCACAACAGACAAAAAAAAAAAAAAATTAATATATATATTTTATATATATGTGCACATATATATGACCTAAATAGGTCAGAAAAGAAAGTGATCAACATAAATTATATTCTGAATTTCACAACAACTGAAAAATGCAACTCTTCTTATCACTAGGCATAACACAGATGCCTGAAACAGACTAACCGAAGTGTCATAGAGTTCCTGCAGAGTCTACTTTAAAAAACATGGCCATCATTCTCCAGCAAACACAATCTCCTCACAATCTTTGCAGCATGCTTCCTAGTAAGCAGTGACCAGAACAGGGGAGGTAGGCAGGGTGTAGGAGAGAACATTTTGAGTTATGCTACCTTCTATCTGCAGAAGCATCAAATAGGGCAGGGAGTGGAGGAACTTCACAGGGGACTGTTCAGCAGATGAACTGTGAATCACCTTTATGCTTAGTTGGTCAGGGAACTATTTCACACCACTGTGAAAGTGGCTCTTACTAGAACCACCATCAGCACACTAGAATCATGTACAAGCTCTGAAAAAGAATACTGGTACTGGTAAACCATGAAGATTCTGATTTAACTGCCATAGGCTAAGGCTTCTCATCAACACTTTTTGGTCTCTGGAGCTTTGAACTCAGGGCACAGACACTATTCTTGAGCTTTTTTACTCAAGGCTAGTGCTCTACCACTTGAACCACAGCTCCACCTCCAGCTTTTTGGTGGTTAATTGGAGATAACCATTTCTAGGACTTTCTTGCCTGGAGTGGCTTCAAATTGTGGTCCTCCTATCTCAGCCTCCTGAGTAGCTCGCATTAGAGGCATAAGCTCATCAGTATGTTAGAATGCTGAGGAGAAAAGAACTATTATGAAAAAAACAAAAACCCCACACACATTAGCACTTCATAGCAAGCTTTGATTACTTCTCTCTCTGAACTACAAAGGTGTGATTTGCATCTAGAACACCAGTCTGTTCTTCTACTGTCATAGATGACCAAAGGTACCATCTTCCAAACTTGATACATTTTACCTCTTCCAGGAAGCTTTCTCTGCCTGCTCCAGATTATATTTCTGTCTTGCAATTGTCCTTACTGCCAGTGCTCACATTCTACTTTTCCTCAAACCCTTTTGCCTAGAGGATCTCCTTTCCCTCTTTGCTTGTATTTATCCTTTCAGATCCTATCCATGCACCAGCAACCCCACCAAGTCTTCCTTTTCCTTGACCTCCACCACTCTTCACTTAGTCAAATCACTGACTTTCTACTTAATTGCCTTTTCATTTGTCTGTCTCCCAAATGAGTGTGTTAACCTCCAAACTTAAGAGTATGCACCAATGAATAAATATATGGTAGGATGTATAGAAGGATGAGTGGCAGATGAAGCTAAACTGTGGAGTTCAACTGACTACTGTCTCTTTTTTTAAAATATTTTAAATTAAAAAAATTAGCTTGGCACTGGTGGCTCATGCCTGTAATCCTAGCTACTCAGGAACCTGAGATCTAAGGATCATGGTTCAAAGACAGCCTGGGAAGGAAAGTCTATGAGACTCTTATCTCCAATTAACCACAAAAAAAAGCTGGAATTAGAGTTGTGGCTAAAGTGGAAGAATGCTAGCCTTGAGCACAAAAGTTAAGGGACAGCACCCAGGCACTGAGTTCAAGTCCCAGAACTGGTACGAAAAACAACTATTTTTTTAAATTGCCAGGTGGAGGTATTCATATCTATAATCCTAGCTACTTAGATTGCTGAGATCCAAGGATTGTGGTTTGAAACCAGCTGGGGCAGGAAAAGTCTGTGAGACTCTTATGTACAGCTAACCAGCAAAAAGCCAGAAGTGGAATGGTAGCTCAAATGGTAGAGGACCAGGCTTGAACACAAAAGCTAAGGGACAGTGTCCTGACCCTGATTTCAAGCCCCAAAACCAGCACCAAAAAAACGCAAACATACACACATACACACTTGTATATGTGTGTGTCTAGATATGTAAATACACATGCATGTAAATATATACAGTAGTTATACAAAGGACTTTCAATTCAACATATAAATTAATGAATACAATGCATTTGGGGGTGGGTATATGCTGGTATGAAGGCTTAAACTAAGGACTACATACTCTAGCTTGGCTTTTTCTGCTCAAGGTTGATGCTCTACAACTTGAGTTATACCTCCAGTTCCAGTTTTTGCTAGTTAACTGAAGATAGCTTCTCTATTTGTTTGCCCAACTGGCTTCAAAACAGGATCCTAAGATCTCAGCCAGGATCACAAGCATGAGCTACTGATGCCTACAATTAAGTACAATGTATCTTGATCAATGTCATTCTATTATTCTGCCCCCAGCTATCCCAACTCTACTAGTGTCACTATTGCAATGTTATGTCTCTAACATACCTGACTTGGAAAAAAAATACTTTCTAGGGATCACTTCTATCCTGAAAACTTATATGCCAGCTGACCTATCTACAGCCTGAAAAGGACTTCAATTAAAATCTGTATAATGGCTAGAGAAGTTGAGCATTTCTTTATGTGTCAATTGGCCATTCTTACTGCCTCTTCAGAGAAGCTTCTCTTTGAGTCTTTAGCCTACTTGTTAATTGGGCAGTTGTTTCTTTGAGGATTTGTTGTTGGGGTATTTAATTATATATATTTGGGGGGGGATGTCAGTCGTGGGGCCTGAACTCTGGGCCTGGGTACTGTTCCTTAGCTCTTCAGCTCAAGGCTAGTGCTCTACAACTTGAGCCACAACACCACTTCTGGCTTGTTCTGCTTATGTGGTGCTGAGGAATCAAACACAGTCATGCATGCAAGGCAAGCACTCTACCACTGAGCCACCTTCCCAGCCCTCTAAGTATATTTCAGATATGAGGCCCTTGTCTGTTGTACGGCTAGTGAAGATCTTCTTCCAATCTGTGGGCTTTCTATTGGTCTTACTAGCTATGTCCCTTGCCATGCAGAAGCTCTGCAGTTTCAGGCAATGCCATTGTCCAACCTTTCTTTGATTTGTTGTGTTTCTGGGTCTTTATTAAGAAAATTTCAGCCTGTGCCAAGGAGCCCTAGAGTTTCTCCTATTCCTTCCTGTAATGTTTTCAGAGTGTCTGCTTTTACTTCAAGGTCTTTGATCCATTTGGAGTTGATTCTGGTACAGGGTGATATATAAGGATCTAGCTTTAGTTTTCTACAGGTGTTTAACCAATTTTGCCAGCACTGTTTACTGAAAAGGCTGGCTGTCTTCCATTATATTATTTTTAGCTCCCTTATCAGCCTATAGGTTTGTGGGTTCATTTCTAGGTCTTCAGTTCTATTCTATTGGTCCTCGGGTCTGTTCTTGTGCCAGTACCAAGCTGTTTTGATTTACTATGGTTTTGAAGTTGAGTTTGAAATTTGTTATTGATATTCCTCTAGCACTGTTCTTTCTGATAAGGACTGTTCTCAGGGTCTTTCATTGTTCCATATGAATTTTTGGATTGCATCTTCTATTTCATTGAAGAATGAGGTTGTGATATTGATAGGTATCGCACTGAATTTGTGATAGCCTTTAGCAGTATTGCCATTTTAACGATGTTAATCCTCCCAATCCAGGAGCATGGGAGATTTTTCCATTTCCTTAGTTCTGCTTTAATTTCCTTTTTTAGGTTTTTAAAGTTTTCATCTATTGAGGTTCCACCTCACCCCAGTTAGAATGGCTATAATCAAGAAATTTACTAACAAAAGATGTTGGAGGTGATGTGGCCAAAAAGAAACACTACTGCATTGTTGGTGGGAGTGTAACTTGTTCAACCACTCTGGAAAGCAGTATGGAGGTTCCTCAAAAGATTCCACATAGAGTTCCCCTATGACCCAGCAATCCCACTTTTGGGCATTTACCCAAATGATCACAAACAAGGCCATACTAAAGCTACCAGCACAACTATGCTTATTGCAGTATTATTCACCATGGCTAAGATATGGAACCAACCCAGATGCCCCTCAGTAGATGAATGGATCGAGAAAATGTGATTATATATACATAATCGTATATATATTATATATAACATAAATATATAATCACATTATGTGTATATATATGTGTGTATGTGTATATATATATATATACATATATATACACACATGTATGTGTATATATATATAAATACATACACACACACACACACACACACACACACACACACACACACACACACACAGTGGAATTCTATGCCTCTATCAGAAAGAATGACACCACCCATTTGTTAGGAAATGGAAAGACTTCAAAAAAATTATATTAAGTGAAGTAAGCCAGACCCAAGGAAACATAGGTCCCATGGTTTCCCTTATTTGCAATAACTAGTATATGTCTAGGATAATCTTACCAGACAAGCAGAAAATGTCAAAAGCTCTGTACATATCACCATATAAGATGATGCTAAGTGAAATGAACCCCAAGATAGGG